GAGCAGGGGCACAAGGATGATGAAGAGGAGGCCGATGGCCGCGCAGACCAGGAAACCCACCTCATAGCTCAACATCTGGGAGAGGGCGAAGAAAGGGGTGAGCACATGGCTGGCACCCTCCCTGGGAAGGTCCTCCCAGCTCGGAGGGTCCCGGCCGGACGCAGGGATGCCGCGGAGCAGCACAGAGCTGAGGGGCATTCCCAGGGGTTTGTGCATCTCCTTTGGCTCCTGGTCCGTGTCTGGAGCTCAGCCTCGGAGCAGCACCCACTGGCATCCCCTGGCCAGACGGGGCTCCTGCCCTTTCCACCGCTCACCTGCTGGACTTGTTCCCTGCTGATCTCTGGGCTCTGGTCCTGTCTCAGCTCCACAATCAGCTCTGGGGACAAGAGAGGGGCCTTAGTGGGACAGGGGGGGATCTCCGGCTGCACCACGGAGCAGGGGATCCTCACCCCAGTGGGGCACCTGTGCCTCAACAGCCACCTCCATCGACAAACATGCCTGGGGGCTCCAAGCCCTCCTGCAGCCCAGCCCCACACACAAGGAATCGGCCGCCAGGGCTGCCAGGATGCAGGGGGACTGGGCATTTTTGTGGCTTGGGGCAAAGTCTGCACTGATGCCGCTTTGCACAGCCTCCCTACTTCCCAGACCTCTCCCTGCCCCACTGCTGGATCAGGCCACAGCACCCACATCGCACGGGCACAGCCGGAGCCCTGCCGTGTTTGTGAGCCATGTGTTTGCTTGTGAGCTGCCAGCAAAGGGCCGAGCCCAGGCAAGGCGGAAGCGCAGGCGGGTTCCCAAAGCCGGAGGGAGCAAATTGCAGCCGGCCGGGACCCTGCAGGCAGTGCCCACTCTGCAGGGATCGGCCAGCCGTGGGGGCCCGGAATCGCGAACCCACAGCACCTCACGCTTCCTTAGTGCATATCCTGCTAGGGCAGGGATGCCTGCAGGGAGGAAGGCGCAGGTCTAGGGGGGATCTCAGGCAGCGGGACCCAAAAGGGGCACCCAAGCACCAAGTGAGGATGCAACCCCCCCAAAACCCTCCAGCCCCAAAGGGCTCCCAGGCAGAGGGGTAGAGGGGAAGCACCCAGGCGTCCTGCACCCCCACACCGAGCGGGACCCCCCATGCCGGGCGCATGAGGAGCCCGAGCAGGGTGTTTATGTGCCGGCTGCACATGTACCGGGGAAGGAGGGAGCCCCACGAGGCTGCGCACCCACCTGCGGGCAGGGCGTTGGGCTGCACCAGGCGCAGAAAGCCACGCACCATGGCCACGAGCCCCGGCGTGCTGCTCGCCGGCGCCTGCAGCCCCGGGCCGTACACCGGCTGCCACACCTTGCCCCGCTCCA